TCCTGGAGTCCCTGTGTCCCCTTCATGTGTGAAACACAGGGTCTCCTGCTGAACGTCCCCTGAAGAGAAGGCCAAGCAGCACATTAGGTCCTGGATACTGAAATCACAACTTCACAGCAGAGTGGTAAAGCTGGTGGGGAAAGGCAAGGGCTGTTACAAGGAAAACCAGTGCCAGATTCTTGCACAACAGAAGCCCTTTCCATTACCACAAAAATTGCAGGCTTGCCAGCTCTACCTTCTCTTCCCTTCCCTGCCATCTTGATATTTATTCTGAGTCTATTACTGGCTCCAATTTTTGTATTTTTTCAGACCTGTAGAGACCCAGGGCCAAGCACAATGACATGTAACCTTCTCTTACACCCCACTGAAATTACAGAATACCACCAAAATACAGAATAGAAAGAAGGTGAACATGTGGCCTCCATTGTATAGAGCTCTCTCTGTCCCCCTCTCTTCACTGAGGGCTGGTACTGCAAGCTCTGTTAGGACTTGGGGTGTTTTTCCCAGTGAGAAAGCAGGCAGGAAACAGACAATCACTATTATCTGCATCTCTTTTTTTTCCCCAGAGAGGACTGTATCTTTTATTTAGGTAATAACATGTTGTTGACAGAGCCTCCAGCAGAAACTCAAGCTGCAGGTGATCAGCAGGAGCTGGAGAGATTGGCTCAGTTTTAGCTACTCACTTTCAACTGATAATAGGGGGTTTCCCAGAGCTCTGCSAAGACAAACTGTGAGCTCCCTGAGTGGAGTCTTTCTGTGGAGCAGGGAGAGAAGGAAATGCAGTATTGCTTATCAGGAAAAAGAAAGAGGGAGATTTGGTGAAGGTGAGAAGACAGTGGGAAATTTATGGAGATAACTGAACCAAAGGCGGGAAACACAGTGGGCAGAAAGGACTGTGAGAAAGATAGAGAAAGATGCGGCATGAAAGGTTTAGAGCAGGGAAGATGTTAAAGGAGAAAATGGGGGAGTTCTGGAAAGGAACATAAATRTGGACAAAGATAAGAAGAGGATCAGGCCTCTAAGGATGAAATAAGTGCAAAAYGTGATCTTTCTTGAAGAAACAAAATACTAGCTTTCTTCCACTTTATGCCAGGTTGGTCAAAGAGATAAAYTTCAAGACTAAAACCATTCCTCCTTTCCTCCTCTTCTTGTCCCCCCACCTGTAGTTTATTACTTGACTTTTCAAAGCAGCTGCAGGATTTTGTGATTCTCTCCTTTTAATTTCCTTTCTCCTGTTGCAAAAGGAGATAAATGAGAGAGCATGAAAAAGCCTAGGAAGCTCAAACTCAGTCATGGGTTAAGTTTGTTAATATATCGAAAATTAAGACATGAATTGCATTCCAAATCACCACCTCTTCAGCCAGCTCCAAGAATCTTGCTTCTACCCACTGCAGGAAAAGGGGCAGCAGGATRTGTCTCTCCCATGTGGATATCTTTACGTCAGCTTCAGAAGGAAGAGAGGGCTGTTGAATGCCTTAGCCCATAATGCCTCTTAACATAGACTCGCCAGTTCTTATCCAATTGTGCCCAAGTACAGGGCTTTCTTCCCAAAAGCACAGGTTCCATGAGGCAGGATTAGTCCACATAGGACCCAGCCTATTCCACCCCAACCTGCCCCCAACTCTTCCCYGGCTATTGCCTCTGCCCCATCACACATGCCTCCCTGCAGTTAACCTGACAGCATCAGTCTTCAGGAACAAAATATCAGCTGTGCACAGGCTTATACACCCAGGAGTGCAATAGCCGAGGACAGGTCACATTCATCTTCATCACAGGCAGGCAGCAAGATTGGAAATGGCATGGCGAAATGAAACTGCAGCATGTCCCTGTCATAGACCCTTAAAGCAGTCACTGGAGATACGATAGCGGTGGTACTCCTAGAAATCCTGTGCAGCCCTGGACCCTCCTCTTCCAGGGCTTTGTCCAACCCCACAGACTGGCCCTCTGTCAGGATACAGACAGAAGAAGTGAGCCGGAACGAGGCAAGCAGAGGGGTCATGGGTGCCTTTAGCTGTGTGCCCTGCATGAAAAATATTCAAAGAAAATGTTAAGCAGGAAGAAGTGCAGCAATGGGTCCAACTCTCATTGTTAGCTAGTTGCTGTCTGGCCACTGATGGTAGTAACTGCTCCTTTAGCCCCATGAAAATCTGCCTGCAACACTCAAACCAGCTGAAATAGATCCAGGCTGTGCTTCTCTCCCTGTAAAGCACAGATCCAGAGGATACAAAGCCTCACTCCCATCCCTCTAAGTCCCCATGTAATAACCTTTTCTTCCTCTAGATTTGATGAAGGTGCAAGCTGTTAATCTCTCTTGGTTACAATCCTTCGATGGCTGCGGAGGGGTGAGCTRTGAGGACTGACATGGCACAACAGTCACCATGGGAGATGAAAGTCTGCCACTCCTTTTCATAATTCCCTGCTTGAGGTAGCAGAGAAGAGCTGTTTGCTTCCTTTAAACAAAGGAGTACAATATGCAGCTGAGCACTTTCGGGCCTCCTAGGCCTGGACAGTGTGTCAAACAGCATTCTCACTCTGCCACTGACCACTGACACAGGCCAGGTTCCTCAGAGAGATATATCTTCCCATAAACATTCATTTGCTAAGAAGCTTCATCACAGGGGGCTTTTGGGAGCTGCCATTCACCTTTTGGATAGAGATAGGTTCAACTCATGCTCTCGGACCTGCTCTGAACCCAGAATTCTGTCCAGCCTGTCTCCTATACTTTCCATCTCCACCACCTCACAAACTCTCTTTACCATTTACTAGACACCTAAGCTTAACTGAGTGAGACTGCTGGCTGTCCTCCCAGCTCTTCCATTCCCGTCACTTGCAACTAATTTCAAGAAAGCCTTTTTAAAATGTATTAGATTTCCAAAAAGGAGCTGATAAACAGAGGATGTGAGAAATGAAACCCAGTGATGTGCTGTATTCCACAAATCTGTGGCGTTCTCCTCCCAGCCCTTTAATGAAAATAGATGGACACTTATTATGAAAACAAATTACTAGCTGTGTGCAGGATTCCTTGGTTGGGCAGAGTGTTAGTCTTCTGAGTGTGTGCCTGTGTGAGCCATGTTGCCTGTGAGGAGAAAGAAGAACACATCCATACCAGAGAAGAATCTGTCAAATTTAGGACCTGGAGGGCTCTGTGAGTGTTTTGTATATGCATTTTTCTGTGTGGCACCACAGCTGCCCTCAGCAAAGGGAATGTGATTGTGAACACTTTGCCTAGTGGTGCCATTCTAGTTATGTGAGTCATTCCTGTCATAAGTCTGAGGGCTGCAAGCATGCCTGTCAAAGCATACTGATATGAGTGTATGTTCAAGTTTTATAGACCTAGTTTGAGACACTCTGGTTAGATTATGTTGTTTTGCTCTTTCCTCACATACCCGCATTGCATTCAGAGGCCATGTGACCAGGAACAGCATTCAGAAAGTACACATGTGTTGCATTGCTGGTGGGCAATATCAGGTGCCATTGTGTTCATGGTACTGGAAAAAAAGTGCACCAAAGGGCATGGAGATGAATCTTCTGTGCTGAAGCCAAGGAAAGGAAATGGAAATTCGAACATCTTGTCTATTTCCCTGCCTCAGCCCCTAAGAGAGGGAAATCCRGTCCATCTCTACCTGTCTATTTCAGTTAGTTTAATGGATGGAAATGAACAATTGCCTGTGTCCTTGCACTGTTTTGTCCCTCCTCCTGCTAGGAATAATTCTGCTTTACAGTGTGTGAGTATCTGGAGGAAGGAGGGAAGAAAAGGGATATAGGAGCCTTAAAAGGTTTGCAAGGATTCTGGCAGGAATCTGGATAGAGTGTGCTCTCAAAGGAATAATCCAGGTAAACTCTATGAAGAGGATAGCCTGGATTCTCTCACCCCAGCCGACACTGTGAGTAGAAGAGAGACTCCAGGCTGTATCTGATGGCTGCTGGCACTTTGAGCATGAGCCTGTAAGGCACTGAAGTACAGTTTTCTCACCAGATCATATGCTTTAGGGGATGTTTCATCAGTCCAGTCAATTTATATTTCACATATATAGAGAGAAGTTGCCAGGATAAGGGCCCAGATCCTGACTTTTTCCCCCACCTCTGGACATGATCATGCCTCCCTTCATTGAACTCAAAGGGTGCATGCCTATGTGAGCACACGTGCTCCAGAGCATTAAGCAGAAAACTCAATCTCTATCACATCAGCTGCAAGGAGATTCACTGCAGGAGACAGTTTGCAGGCTTGAGCTGAAGAAGACCTTCACGTTCCTTCTCTGGGGTAAGCACGTGTTTCAACTCAGAGATACACTCCTTGCCTCTTGAAATTAATTCAACATTCCAGTGGCTTGGGCAAAAATACCTAAAATCAATAATCAGGCTGTACTGGCCCTGCTGCAGATTTCYTGGTAAATAGAGCCCTCTTCAGGAAGGAAAAAAGCAGAGAGTAAGACAGCACCAGCACTTACAAGAGTCTGCAAAGGCATCACATTAGATAGCACTGGTTTATCAAGTCTTTTAAAGCAAGCCTGCATGTGCAGTTGTTTCTAGCACTTTTCCCGAGGCTGTTCCCCACAGAGAAATATCAGTACCCTGCACTTTTCCTCCTGCTCATTAACTTCACCCCTGTCCCTTACCATCCAACATCTGCCTGTTTGTCACATGCCCTCCGTCTGCCTGTATCTAGGTGCAGTGCAGAGCTGCAGTAGTGCTCAGGCAGCTCTGCTAGGCATAGGAACATGACACACTTACATCCTCTGCTTTTATTACATAAAAGATCATCCTACCCACTTTTATTTTTTTCCTTAAACAAGAGAAAAAAAAGCACAAAACAAGCAAACAAAACTCAAAAAAACAAGAACAATACTACCATCAATAACAATAAAAAACACAACAGGATTTAGGCAAAACTAGAGCATTAAGATGGGGTGGGAGGTGTATGGTGTTTATACACCACCAAGCCTTCTTTACTTCTGGCTGCAGGCCTACCAGACACTGAGTCCAGCCATCTTAAGAGGTACAAGGGAGCGATCTTTGTTCAGAACCCAGAAGCCAGAAGGAAAGCTTGAGTCTGGTGGGTGTTCTTCCCTATGTGGACTTGTAATGGCCTCTGAGCACCAAACCCAGAGACATAGGGACACAGAGCTGCCTCTCTGTTTCACAGACACTCTATACACAGTTTCTCTTTATTGCTTCCTCCATCTTTTATTTGCCCTGCCACAGAGCAGAGACCTTCCAGAATTGCAGCCCTCTTCATGGCTGAAGGACAAGGTCTCTTATGAACAGAGGTCTTCTTATCTTCCTTTGACCTCCTTTGAATTTCACTCTCTTTCTTAAATAAGAGTATCCTTTCACCACCATTAGTGCCCATCAGTTCATAGCATACTGTGACTTTTCTTATTCTGCAACTGACTGAACCATGTCCAGAAAGCATCTGCATGGTTCCTCACAGAACAACACCTAGGCTTGGTTTGATGTCTGGAAAGGATGAATGGGGAATAGAGACATTCTGGAGACATTCTGGTCTCCCTCAGATCCTGTCCTATATGCCTGGTAAGTGTATGGGAGAATCCAAAGGCCATCTCTTGCAGTTAAGTGTATCTTAGGACATGGAAAAAGCCACGCCACTAGCTCTGACAACCCCCGGGGAGTGCATCCTGTTCCTCTGCCTTCTGTTTGGGAAGGAAAAATCAGTCATCTTCCTGCCAAGTTGTAGACTGAGGGCACCAGTACTCCCAAATTTCTTTATCGGAAGAGCCCAACATGGGAAGAAAGCTGCTCAACAATTGCATGTTCTTGCAGGTGAGCGCTCAGTTTTTGTTGGCAATCTTCTTCTTACGGGCTGAGACAAGATCATAGAAAGGGTCCTGTGTGATGCTGGTCCTGGAAATAGGATGAGATGAGAACAAGAGATTTAGTGCTGGAGAAGAGCAAAGGCAACCCTCCCTGTACAGAGAAACCACTCACAAAAAAGGAGGACTGGAGAACTACAGACCTATAGCAAATAATTTAGTTGTTGCTACAGATTCTCCTGAAGGAGCCTTGAAGCAACTTGGAGTCAAGGTGCACCACAGCTGTTAGGCTGTGAACACTTCTTTCTACTCCCTTTTCCAGGCTCCTTTCTGATTTGGCCCTCCTGATGGCCAAATAAGCTGTGTGATCATTTGTCCAAGGACTGGACAAAGAAAGCCTACAGTCTCCAAATTCTGGTCTTCTCACCGTATTGCCTCTATCCACTCATCGCGTTCTTCTGGTGTAGCTGCTGAGATCTTGTAGGACTGATGCTTGCCCTCAACCACCTTCCCATCCCCGTCTGTTTTGCAGGCTTTGATCTTCTGCCCCTTACAGTTGGGATTGAAGAGCTCAAAGCAATTCTGCCAAGAAAGAAAGAAAATGGAGCATTTAGGTAGTGGGGAAGGAAGAGAGGTGGGGAAGAGAGGAGAAACAGGTAAGGAAGAACTGATGCCTTCAGCCATAGATGACAGGATCAGGGGAAAGAATTTCCCTATCTTCGAAACAACAAAGTCTTACCTTCCTCATCCCAAGAATCTCCCTATATGTTAGATCTGCAGACCATCCCTCTTAGATAAACACATCCCTCCTGTGAAGGACTAGACATTAAAACAGGCCTTATGAAGAGAGAGAGAACATCAGCAGTTCACTCAAGAACACCTTGACCACTTTGCTTCATATATGAAGAACTCTTCACCTTTTATATAATATAACATGTACTCTGCTGCCTGTCAGTACACAGACAGCAAAGCAAGTCTTCCTGAGAAATGCCCCATTGGAGGAGTGAGTATCATCTACAGTAAATGTGCAGAGAATGCCACTTCCCAGGAATGTTTCCTAACACTGTCTAGTCTGTGCATGCTGTAGCTCACTATGGAGATTCATGATGAGGGAAATCAAACCCGTAACTCCTGGTGAAGCATTTGTAAAATGCAATTTTGTGCACTCCTCCCTGCTCCCCTATGCACCCGTGCACACAGTGCAGCTAGTCAGGGGAGAAATCAAAATGGCTGTCAGTGAGGAACTGCCTAAGAGTGGAACTGGCGCTGGTCTCACACCAGTCCATCACCGGTAAAATACAATCACATTTAGAGGTAGGACAGGATGGTTTGGCACGGTACCTTCCCTCTGAGAAGCATGGAAAGAGCAAGCTTGAGAAACTGCCCTTTTCCTCCTACCTGCCACATTGGAGTTTTTGAGTGCTTCTTTCTAGACTCAGCAGTACAGGTAGGAGGGAACAAGAAGCAATTTTTTGTCAGAGGTTGTGCCTTGAAGACAAACAGGTGATGTTTTTTTCCTTCAACTACTGTCCCCTGTGTCTCACCCCAGCACTAAAGCAGAATATTAATAGTAGAGAGATTGCTTGGTGTCCTGTGACAAGGTATGTGCTCAATCGTACAAGGCACCGTAGGGTAAGAGGTGTTGCTCAAGAGAAGTCTGCAGAGTGAAGAAAAGARGGGAAAGGCCAGTGAGTTCTCTCCCGACTGACCCAGGTGAGAGATTGCTTTGATCAAAGTACCAAGCAATGGAGGCTTACTGGCTTTTTAGGGTCATCCACCTTCCGGACTGATAGGTTCTCCAAAGGGATAATGCCTAAAGGCTCTTTGTCCTGAAAACAAGAAAACTCAAATTAACACCCAACATACTCCCCACACACCTATGCAATGATTTACAGCCACTCTGTTTTTCCAGGCACATGTGCCTGAGGAGATTCCCTGATTTTTAGAATAGGGACCTTAGCTCATAAGAAACCACAACAAAAGCTTCAGTGTCAACTTCCATCACTGTGAGAACTGGAGCTGACTTAGGAGAGAAATGAGGTCTGAACTTAGTCTGGGAATGCAGGGTTGAAAGGAAGATTTACCCCGTACTCCCTGCACCTCCCAGTGCCCTCAAAGGTTTGTAACCACTCAGGATGCAGTTTCCCAGCCTGGACTTAAGCCCTTACTGTGGTATATTCGAAGTAGTACAGGCAGTTATCGGTCAGAATGAACCATCGGCGTTTCCAGGTTTTCACACGACCTCCTAAAAGCAATGAAGTTTAAAAACCATTAGAACCACACTCTTGCCATCCTTCTCCCACAAATTCACATCCTCTCTCACCCTCCCAGTAGATCAGCCCCGAGGAGGTCACTGCAGTGCTCACCACTGATGTGATGCCACATGTTGGACACACACAGAGTGAGCCATTCATGCTCTGATGGGGCTACGGATGGGGAGATGTGAGGGTATCTTTCTGGGTCCTCTCCCTAGCAAACAGTGTTCAGCAGTGGGCTGGCAGGAAAGAACAAGTGCTTGGTTTCAACAGCAGGTGTCAGCCTCATCCCATTGCAGCCAGCAGGAAGGAAGACGGTGGGAATGCTGCTGTCTGAACGGGTTTGGGATTTCTTGGGGAAGATTTATGATGGGAGGGAGGCTATATGTCGGTGGGGGGTGGGAGGGACACAGGGAGGGAATTCGGACAAGTTATAAGAATCCTTCCACTTACCTAGTTTCAGGAGCCAGCCCTCACGGCTAGGGTTGAAGAAAGTATGTGTGAGATCATTCCCATCATCTTCTGGTATGGAGAATGGCTCATTCTTTATGCTTTCAAAGAGACTCTGCCCCAAAGTGTTTTTAGGGAAGAAGGAGAGGAGAGGCAGGATGAGAAAAGAAGATATATTTCCGACAAAGCTTGTACACAACCTGCATCCATACAGTTCCCTCTGTTTCCATTGGGGCGGACAGGTTAATGAGGAGGGCACTGGGCATACCACGTCACTCAGTGTGCACCTCACAAGCACAAGGTCTTAAGTAGAATAACCATCTCTCTCTTTTTTTTTTCTTTCTTTTTTTTTTCGTTGGGTGAAACTATCACATTGTGGAAATCCATGGGCACAAAAGTGCATGTCCACATCAAGACAGGCTGCAGTGCCCGACCCTAGCACACAAGTGTGCCACTGTGGGTAGTACTAAGGAAGTGGGCAAGGGAGGAAGATGACAGTGACTGCAGACCTGTCTTTGAGCTCTGAGTGTCATCCAGTAATCAAGTGCTCAGTTGAGAACATGCATGCACACATAGGTCCACATGGTCTCAAGGAGATACATTTCACAGACTGTAAACATTTCCACGGAGGGCCACAATGTGCGAAATTTCTAACCGCAGAGTGGCACTAAGGCAAGTTACTAGCTTTAAAGTGACATAGAGATGATATTTGCATAATTTTTATTTGCCATTATTTACTGCACAACCCCCAAGACATGAATAAAATTTAAAATACAAGCACTTGCAATTTCCCTTAAACTGACGAAAATAAGTAACACACTAGAGAAAAATCTAAAGCCTTTTACCTGAGGGGATGCTGCTCAACAAAGCCACGTGTGGGGTGCTAGCACTTTCTTTGACACAAGGCACAAGTTATTGCCCACAGGCTCATTAAGTTATTGCCCACAGGCTCACTAAGTGAGGCTAAGTCCAGTCAGGCAGGTTGCCCACTTCCACCTTGCCTCAGAGGGCAGGCACCCTGACTGCTAAGCCCTTGAGGAAATGGTTATTCCAGGTGCATTAACTGCTTCTCCTGCCTCTGTTTCCCTTCTGTATCTTCATCYTTTGAGATCAAATACACCAGGGACCTGGTGAGAACTTCCCAAGTACTGGAAGAGACCCTGATATTCTTCTAGGACTCATTGGTTCTGATCCCACAGAGACATGTCCTGGTATAAGGGAGACAGTCCCTGACCGAAAGGCTACGACTTTCGAAGATGTCCAAGACAGTCCCTAACCCAAAGGCTAGGACTTTCAAAGATGCCCAGAAATGCCAGGTGCCCAGCTAGTTCCAAATTCACATTTGTCATTATTTATTTATTTTTAATCCTTAGTTAGCTTAAACCCACACTGCCATTCCCTGTCTTCACCTGTTCATGTACTGTCCCTATCCAAAGCACTTTCTATGTCTTCCAGCCCTACTTCAGCACACACCGCCCTCTTTCCTGGAACAGCCCTTCCCTTTTCACGGGAGGCCAGCAGATCTGTATTACACTGGGAATGATGGACTTTTGGTCTTCAGTGGCTCCCAAGCCACAGAGGAGAGAGGAACTGATGAGAAAATGGGAGGTCAGAGCCCTTCTTACCCTTAAGAGCTCTTCTGGCAGGTCTCTTCCTTCAGCAATACCTCGGTTGATGGATACAAACCTCTCAAAGGGGGGTTTGTCTTTCACGTTGGGGTTGTGCAGGCTGGTGTTAAGCATGATGATGGAGAAGGAAAGTATATAGCAGGTATCTGGCAAGGATGAAAAGAACCAAATGGGTGGAGTGTTACTTTAGTGAGCAAGTCTATCTAGAGCCTAATAGGTGGCATGGTTTCAGTRACAGAACAGCCTCACCCCCTCAACTATAGGAGGCAATGGGAGTTGTCCCCTATGCTAGTAATGAGAGACAGACAGGGCTAGATGAAATTTSTTCTGTAATGATGGAGGCTTTTCCCTGATGGTGCAAGCCGGATAGCTGTGGTCAGATAATGATTTGCAAGCAGATGTATTTCTGTAAGTTGGCATCTGTCCGTGCTAGTGCTGGCAGGTTTTGTACCCCACTATGATGAGATACATGTGGCTTGGAGCACTATTACCTTTTGCAGTAGGTTGGAACATAATAATAAAAGGAATGGAGATCCTTAGCCTATTGAAAAGCCTCAAAGAAACTGCGCTAAATCCTTTGACTCAAGAGAATACAAAGAGCAATCTCCACATTCCCAAGTGATGTCCTCTGTTTGTGTTTTTGTGTTTGTTTGTTTTTGTTTTGTCTGGGAAAAGAAGGCTCTTCTCCCTTGCAAAGAGTGGAGTTCAGCTTCACAGATCTGTGTAATTACCTGTGGACTGGAATACTCCTGGGTTACATTTGCAGTACCAGTTGGCAAACGCCTCCATCATTCGGTCAATCTTCTGAGCTTCCCCAGGCAGCCGGAAGCTCCATAGGAATTGTCTGTTGGGAATACCATGCCAGAGTCCTATTCAGACAGCGTACAAGAGACATTGAACCTTTCTGACTGTCCCCAGCCCCTAGGACAGCATGAAAACATGGGGAGTCTTCCCACCTCATGGGGAAAACACTGGAGTGCACCTGTATGAAGCAGGAGCTCAGCTCCTCTCTCTCTGGAAATCAGGTGGGCTCATCAGCCTCAAACATTGCTATAAGGGATAGCAGAACTAAAAGAATCATCGCTTCCTAAGGAGTGTCCAGCAAGGTGCTATGAAAAGGAGCAGGGACCTCAAGAGAAAGAGTCTTGACTCTTGACATGACATGACTGTCATGTTTCCTGTTTAAAAAAAAAAAAAAAAAAAAAAGTTGCTACTGTCTCCCCATCCATTCAAGCCACAGTGACCTGCATTGCTTTCCCTATTTGTCTGCCTATGTTGACCCAGTCAACAGGCCACAAAGACGACTCCCAAGGGAAACATGTCAACATACCTCACAGATCAGGGGGAAGCCCTGTAAGGTCTCAGAGCTTTCCCAGTGGACCCAGTGGCTGAACAAGTCTCTGCTCTACCTACTCCTTCCTACATTTGCATACTCACCTTAGTGCCTGGACCAGGTTGAGGTTGGCAAACTGGTGACATGCCACAAAGGCTTGGAGGATCTGAATGTTTGTGGGATCCCTGAAAAGAACGGGAAGAAATGGTGAGAGAAGAGATTTTGACCTTGCTTGGTTCAGATGTCACTTGGCAAGGGGACATGCACTTGACTCCATCCTGGCTGCTCCTTCCCCTYTGCCCCACAAGAAGCCACACCAAATGAGTACTATTCTTTATCTAGCTATAGTCACACTCACAGCGATGATCTTGATGCATGTGGCCAACAGCCCACTGCAGTTTGAGACCATATTCAATTTTGGCACCTGACTACTCATCTAAAATGGTGGCTGAGAGGGGTCAGGCAGGACAGGGCTTTCAAAGGACCTCTCAGCTTGCCTAGGTTGCTCACCTCCCACCCAGATAATCCCCAATAGCTGTCTTGTTCAGGCCTTCACCCTTATGGAGGAATTTGGCAATATCCTCAAGGTTTGAAGACAACAGTTGGTGTTCTATCAGATACTGGATCCCCTGTGGGAAGAAAAGTAAGACAGCAAAGTAAGACAGTTCTGGAGCTAGCAAGAAAGCAGCTCCTAACATCCTAGCCTTCCTTGACTTTCATGGTGTTGCCTCCTCTGTTACTCCCCAGTCCCTCCACCGGATCACACAACTACATTCCCATTTCACTCCATCCCTTCTCATCTACCTGCTGTGAGTCAGTTGACAGTCCCACTCCCAGTTCACCTCTACACTTGTATAAACATGTTTTTCTGGCCTAGAAACTCAAACAAAAAGCTCTGTGCAGGTTAAAAAAGAAAACCAAAAAAACAAAAACAAAACCTGCAGATTTAAAGCCAAGTCAAAATAAGATTTTGATTACACAAACATTTCATGTTCTATGAACATTTTTTAATCAAAAAGTGTGTGTTTTATTACCAGATGTCATTTTTTTCCAGATAGTTTTGATTTAAAGAAAAAAAAGTTACTTTGAAAATAAAATAATATAATAAAAAAGGTACTCAAACAAGAAACTGGCTTGAGACGATTCATTTTTTCCCCCCACACCTTTCTCTAAGCCATGCAACAGAAAAGCCTGCATTCTGTTCGGCTCCATCTTGCCCACCAAGTAAGGAATACAGGAATTTCAAGGAGTACAGAAAATCTGAGTTGCAATGTGCAAACAATCAGCATTCTATTGTAGAGAGAAATTTTGCATTTTCAAACTCAAGGAAAGCTGAGACTTTATTCAGATTGATAACAATATTTAAAATTACTGCAGATATCCAGACCACAGTGCAATTCTCCACACAAAATGCAATGAAAGAATGAAAATTGTATTAGAACTATCAGAATGTTCTACTTCAACCGAATAAATTCACTTTGTTATGTAATATATAAAAAAACCTATTTCTAAAATGCCCCAAAGGAAAGCAGTTTTAAGAGAAGAAATTGAAATGTTTTGTAGATTTT